GTTAATTTTAAGTCTAAAGTTGAATTAATCACTCTGATAACTCGAAAAAACGATAAAAATGATTTAAAAGAAGTGCTAATTATGCAGTAGTAATGACTGACAAACTGCCTCCGCAATTCCTTCGACTGAACTCAGTTGTCGTTTGGTGTTGTGCGAACGAAGCGCGTTTGAGCGCGACACGCGGAACGACAATTGATCACCATCAAACCTATTATTTTAACATAACAATTTATGTTCAGTTCCATAAAGTTCACCTCTATGATTACTGATAATTTATCATTTCTGAGAATGTGATAGAGATTTTACCGATTGAGATATATAGATGAATAATATATTCACGTTCTCATTCAGAGTCTGTTATGCAAAAAGATAGAAATATGAAATGAGAACATACTGAAAATCATCGAAAAACAGCTCATTGGGAACAGCGATTGAGTGTTCGAGATAAGCAACCAATTGGTAAAGTTGATCTTCATCTAAATCCCTCTTAACTTTTAAATAAACACGAGTGCTATCGACCCTCTCCAACGGGGGTGCTCCTTTCACTATTTTATGTTCAACTTTCTCCAGACCTGAAACTTAATTCATTTATTGTAATTCCGGAACCTTGTCGGATATCATGCAAATCACTGCCTCTCTCAATTAAGATCACTTCGTTGGTATTAATACCTTAATGTGGAGTAGGAACGAATGCATGTGCACAGTTATTACATATGTTTTAAAGTAGCCCTTCAATGGAAAGCAATTAGGTGATGTGTTTCAGCTGATAACTGATCAACGCCAGAGGCGAAGATCCGCATCATGCGAAACAGCTTGAATAAGCATGGGTTCGACCACAATCACATGGCCAACCTGTGTTTTGATCGCCGAGATGCTCAGTGTCTTTCTTCAGAGGTGACATTCTATCGTCATCAACATTCAACGGTATCGCCTCCTCGGCTTCACCAGGTTTCAACGCTGATTCGGTTCCATCTATGAATGAATCATATATTCGTTTATGCTTCAGAAAGCTTCAGTTCGATGTCACGACTGCTTGCAATGAGAACGAATAGGAACGAATCAAAAAATTGTTCGAAATTCGGATTATTTGAAAGTAAACAAAAAATTTCTTAAGCGATCACCATACCAAAAAAAGATTCATTCCTATGTGATTATATGCTCTCAACTTTGTGTGTAAATGTCTAAAAAATTAGGTGCACTGCAAACGGTGACGGTTCGTGACAATGAAACATGCAA